CTTATTTGGACTTGAAGCATTTTGTGTCACTACTTTCTTTATGAGAATCGGATCCTGATAATTTGATTACTTTTTCCCATATTTATCTGATTCTGACCAACCTTCTTGGCTCAGGGCTGGTGGGACCAGACTCCTTCAATTTGTCCACGTTTGGTGGTCAATCCATGGGTTCTGAAAGTCATTTTAGTAAGTCTGGTCCTCTACTTCCATTCAACCCCCACCTTTTTTTTTCTTGTCCACTGTTTCATTCAAGGAGCTTTCATTTCCATCTTTCTATGAACGTACGGCTGCTTCTTGCCTCCTCACAAGATGACTCAGTCCTACATCCTCAGTTTCTTCTCCAAGACACTGTCATGGTAGGTTGACTTGTTAAAGTGGAGCAATTTTTCCTCATCCCCATAAATTTTATGGTTGATCTTGGGGTATTTTCCCATTCCCTTCTCTGTCAGGCCCTACCTGTTACATTTCAGTTGCAAGCTGTGTGGGAAGCTGTCTCTCTTTTGGGAACATGGGCTTCTCTCAAAGCCCTCTTTGCTCTTTGTCACACTCTCACGTGTCATCATCAATGGGTTTTAATTTACCTATGTAGCCTTGTTTGGGACCTCGTTGATCCCCCCTCTCACTCTCCCCCTCCCTTACAGACCAACTTTGACTAGTTGGATCGGAACAATACTACTGTTGGTGGTCTTCTTACTCCTCCTTGTCCAAAATGTCACCACTCACGGATACTTCTTATTCTGGTTTGGGGGGGTATCTTGACACTTGTTTTCTCACATTTGATCTTCTGTGTTGGGCCCATTGCTATCATGAATCTGATTGCAGATCGGTTATCCTGTCCTGACAAGATTCTTCCTGCAGTTTGGTTTTTGGATCTACCCATTTTTCAGGTTTTGTGTGTTCTTTGGAGTATCCCAAATTTGAACATTTTGCCATTCTTCCCAATACACTACTTCCCCATTTTTGATCTGTTGTCCCTCATCCTCTAGCATGAGCTGCTGATGCTCTCAGTCTTGATTGGTCAGGTTGGTACCTATATACATATCCTCCTAATCGTCTATACCTTTACTTCAGATCATTCTGTGTAGTGTTATGCTGCTGGTTACGTATGGGCTATAGGGTAACATTATCTACCACTTTTTCGTTTACGAACTTTGCTTGTGTTTTCCAGTTGCCACTGTTATCCATGTGGTTCATTCCTTCCATTTTCCTGTCCTCCTCACCCTGCTTCCCTTCTGAATTAGCACCTCTATGTGGTCCTCCTTGTTTTTTCCCCCATCCTCCATTGGACCTTTTGTCTTTGACTTACCTCATTCACTTTTTTCCTGATCATTCCTTTATGCCCAAGACTTCAGCTGCTCAAGAAGGTACTTCTCCCTTCCCTCCTTTTTCCACTTTTGTGACCATTCTGATCCCACCTGCTTCCTTTTCCTGGTCAGGACTCTTTGATGGTATATGACACATTGTACTGCTCCCTTCCATGGTTTCCGAGTGTTTGTTTTCTTCCATGAAATACTCACCTCTCCTGTGACCTTTTACCCGTTTCCCTTCCATGTTGAATTTGCCTGGGGTTTTTCTTCCCTTTCTTCTTATGATTGTCACCTTTTCATGTTTCCTTCCATTTGGATCAATCACCTTATCATGTTCTTGGCTGCACTTTTCCATCTTCCCTTGGGGAACATCATCAGTTTTGTCATTTGTGTCTGTGCATGGTAGGTACTCCATTCATTTTTTGTTTCTTTACAGGGGTCTTTATCGCATACTTGGATCCTGCTCAATGGTGAGTGTTAAATGTCTTAAATCTGCACTGTACAACTTGTGATCATATACATGCTGGATGACTGTGATGGCGAATGCTCTTCCTACCACATACCTGATGTACAATTGCAGGTGCTGCCTAGTGTTGGTTGATCGAATCTGTCAAGTTGTGTCCTCTCTGCTTCAATATAGTATATCATTGAGATGGGTGCTGTGTTGGACTGCTAGTAATTGTATCTGGTGACTTTTTGCTTCATAAAGATGTTCATCCAAGGCTGTATGCTCATGGACTAACACGAGTAAAGCAGACAGAGATTACTGCCCATCTCTGATGATCTGTTGTGTTACCAGATGTTGGTTGATTGACTCCATCAATGTGATCACTCTGCTTTTAAAAATTAGGGATTGCAGTCACCCATTGCACTATCTCCGGTGCTGTAATCCTCCACACATTTTCCCTCCTTCTTCTAGTGGAGTATGGGAGTCCTTTCTATTTAACAGTTCCTAGCTGCTGGGGCAGTAGACCATAGAGGCTTGTTCTTCTGAGTATGCACGATGACACTAAGTTTAGAGTAGGGTGGTGGCATTCTGCAGGTGTAGATGGTGTGACACCCTCCTACCACAGACCTGATGTATCATTCCAGATGCCACCCAGTGTTGGATGTAGCATTCATCCATATATTGCAGTTTGCCCCTCTGGCTGAGTCACCCTCTTTCCTACTATCCAACTGATATTGGTTCCAGGCAATCAGGTGTTGGTTAGAGCCAGACCAGTCACATAAGTCCTACCATGTGTGTGGATGTTATTCTCCTCCTAACGTGGACTGGATGATGAATTCCTGATAACACCAGATTTTGGACTGGAGATGCAACCCCATATAGCAGTCCCTCTTCCTGTTGTCTGCTTGATGTCAGTTCCAGGTGGATTTGGTGTTGGTTGTAGTTGGTTGAGACACATGAATTTCCGAATATGTAAGGCTGGGTACCTTCCTCCTAATGCAGACTGGACAAAAAATTCCCAATGCCAACAGGTTTTGGACTGGAGAGGATCACCTACCTGGGCTATCCACCTTCTGCCGATTGACAGTTTCTGGTGTTGTTTATGTTGGAGGTGGATGCATGCAGAGGCAGATTCTTGGTACAGAAATTCCTCTTCCCTGCTGGTACCCATTTTTGAGGTGAAAAACAGAGGACTCTTCCTACTGAAGACCTGATGTACAATTCCAGATGCTACCAGGTGTTGGTTGGGGTCGAACTCCCATTTACGTCCTGTCATGCTCTAGCCACTCTACACCAGGGGTCCCCTTATTTCTATGTTTTTTCTTTATGTTCCTCCTTATTTCTGCCCTTTTTAAAGGGCAAAAAGTATATCTGGCTCAGAAGTGGCATGGTCTCCCAAAGGTGTGTTGTTTTTAATTCCTTCTCACACCCCAGGTTTTCCTTCAGGTGCTTCCTAAAAGGGGAATCATCTTCTCACTGGCTCTCCACCAGTTCAGTGTGGAATTCTAGCTTTTTGTGAGAGGAGGTAAAATATCATATCAGAAGTTAACATTTTCCTAAGATGAAAGTGTATTTGCAATTGATACTTACATCTGCTTACATTTCCCACCCATTCTCACCACTTCCAGTGTGGTTTGGTTTGATCTGACCAATCTTGAAGTGGTTAACATGCAATATTAGAGGGCACTATTTACAATAGGGGTAGTATCACACTCCTATTGGTGGATATATGCTGCATAGTCATTTGCATGTCAGTATGCAGAAATTTGTGCCGATAGAGAGCAGTATAAATGGAGAAAGCTTTTTGTGATGGGAGGTAAGTATCTATCTGAAATACATTTTCACTTTAGGAAAACGTTAACATTTAGTACTTATGTTTGCCTCTTGTTTTTTGCCATCACCCCATTAATGAAACTTAAGCTTATTTTTTTGTAGTGATGGTACCAGTTTATTAAATTATTTTTATTTCAAATATGCCTTTAAGAACACAAAATAATAAGAAATTAAAACATACATAATCATTTATTAACTATGTTTTAGTGTCAATTTTATTCATATCCGTTGATAATAAAGTAGTTTAATTAAATTGCGAATATAACTAAAAATGGTGCGACCTACCTGTAGCATGAGGGTTAAGAACACAAAATAACAACATGCACAAAGCATTATTTAACTGGCATTCTAACTAAAGTATAATTACCTTAAAACAATTCCATTAGCTACTTTGGCCCGGTTGTTAGGATGCTTGACTTGCAATCTGTGGGTCACGGGTTCGAATCCTTGTCCCACCAAACATGCTTGCCTTTTCATCTTTGTGGGTGTTATAATGTTACAGTCAATCCCATTATTTGTTGGTAAAAGAGTAGTCCAAGAGTTGGCAGCGGGTGGTGATGACTAGCTGCCTTCCCTCTAGTCTTTCACTTCTAAATTAGGGATGGCTAGCGCAGATAAGCCCTCTTGTAGCTTTGCACGAAATTCAAACCAAACCAAACTTAGCTACTTTATCTGAACTCAGCAATAGCAACTTCCAATTTGTAGGTTTGCTAATTAAAAATCTCTTCTTAGAACAAGGTAGCATTATACGTCATTTGGTAAATTAAAAAAATTGTGTTTCTATTGGTTATAAATGATGTAATAGAAAATGTTGGAGATAGTAATTGACATTTTGTAAAAGAGAAGATATGATAGGTGGTCATGGCAAGCAGGTCTGTCTTTCTAGTTTATATCTCCATAAACAAAGAAGATTGATAGCTATAAAAATTTGGCTATGCTTTAGTAATATCTATACTGTAAGGAGTAATTTACAGTAAACTCAGGACATTGGAGAGGAGTAATGAAAAAATAAAAATTGGACAAGTTGTAGTGAACAAATGTTATGATACACATACAAGGAAAGATTGATAATTTACTTAAATATTTCATTTTAAAATTGCGAAATTAAAACACAATATTAATATTATTATTAGATTTATTAGCTATATTTTGATGCCAAATTTATTTATATACATTGATAATAAAGTAATTTAATTAAATTTTGAATGTAACTTTTTAAAAAAAGTTCTGACCTACCCATAGCATGAGGGTTAAGGATTAATTTCAGCCACAAATACAAATTTTTTGGCTTTTGTATGTGATGCTGTAATTGAAATTATACAAATAACTTATTCAGAAAAATAATTTCACATACTAAAAATATAATAAATGTAAATTCATTTGATGATATGTGTATTGTTTATGTTTATTAGGGCTGTTTATTGTATTCTTGGGTGTTGTGACATCACTGATGATCATTCAGAGGTTGCTACTAAAACTGATGACTATCTATGGCTAAGAATTTGTCAGCTTAGACCTGAGGAAGAAGAAGAAGACACAGTAGCATTGCAGCAAGACAGGATGACGCTCTCTCGTTTTCAGACAATGTTGCTTGAAGAATATGGTATGACTGAAAATATAAATGTTTAGTTTTACAGCTTTATTATTCAACCTTTTGTTGTTGTTTTTTTCGTGTTTTTTTTTAATTATTCAAAATAATTCATCTGCTAGTTTTACTTTAAAACTCATATTTTGACATGAGTGTATATTTAACCCATTACCTGCCATACAAAATTGTATTATTTAATGAATTTTAAAGAGGAATTTAATGAAAAAAAATCCTAAAATATGTTTGAGACTGTAAATATGCACCCTCTAAGAAGAAAATTAAAAAAACTTTTTTAAATTTTCCTTCCACTTCAGCACTGGGCCTTCCATCTATCTGATTGGTATCTAAACCTTTTACTAGTCTGTTTTCTTTATAAAACAGCGTCTGGGCGTGTTAAACCTCAGTTGTAAAACTTTTAGCCAATCCTAGTCGAAGGTGTCAATTTCAGTACCATGTTATTCCAATCGCTGTATTTCACGTTTGACAAATCATAGGATGATAAGCAAAGCACGTGACAAAACGTTGTTCTCTGGATTTTACAGTATGAATGTGGGTGGTGCTTATTATAGTAACTGCAATTTTATGTAGAGGTTGTTCTTAGTATTGACCAATAGTACTTTTCTATAAGCGTTAGAAAACTTGCTTCTGGAAAAACTGCACGGAATGTACATGACTTTTATTATTTTTCTATAGTAGCTTAAGTCATGCTGCATGGTATATCTGTTTATATTAATCATTATATTGAAAAATTAACTCAGAATAGATATATTTTTTAGGAAAGAAGTTGATCCCCAATTGTTAGGGTTAAGAGCTATCGAGTGGCGAGTGCAGGGTCTTTACATTAATTAGGCTTAGCACTTTGAAATGAAGAGTTTGTGATTTTTTATATTCTTTTGCATTTAAA